CCCAGCTCCTGGGGAGTTTGCCTTCCTCAGTCAAGGATTTGGTCAGAGGGCCGCGCCGGTGCTGGGCCTCTGCCTGGACCTGCGGCCTCTGGAGCTGGGAGAAATTGGATGGGCTGAGACAGAGTCTGCACTCCACTCCTTGTTTAACTGTTTCTGGGAATTGTTTGAAGAATTCTGCATCTGTGTGCAGAAGGATGCTGGCCTGTAGCTTGCATTTCCTGTGGTGTCTTTGTCTGGTTGCACCTCCGCCTTTTCCATTTTCAGGTCATTTGTTAGAGTTAGTGCCTTCTCTTCTTAAGCGTGTCACGGAGTTCACCCGTGAGGCACTGAGGCTGCGTATTTACTAGGGAGAGCTTGGAGTGGGACTACAATGACTGAGGTTCTGTCCAGGTGGCCTGTTTCCTTCCAGCTGCACGAACTTCTTTCTGGGTGGGGCCGGGAGATTTGTGTCTGAAGGAATGTGTCCCTCCTGTCTGACTAGCTGTATTTACTGGCATCAAACCATTCAGATGTGTCCCTTAGGATCGCTCATGGGTGCTGCCACCGTTCTTGTGCCTGAGCCAGTCATTTTTGCCTTTTCATTTTTTTTTTTTTTTTTTAATAAGCCTGGATATTTATCAGTTTTGTTGATTTTTAAAAGAATCAGCTTTGGCCTCATTTGTTATGTTTTTCATTTTCTTATTTCATTGATTGCCACTCTGATTTTTAAATCTTTGGCTTTTTTGGGGGTACAATTGATTAATTTTTCTTTTCTGTTTTTTTTTTTTAATAAGCCTGGATATTTATCAGTTTTGTTGATTTTTAAAAGAATCAGCTTTGGCCTCATTTGTTATGTTTTTCATTTTCTTATTTCATTGATTGCCACTCTGATTTTTAAATCTTTGGCTTTTTTGGGGGTACAATTGATTAATTTTTCTTTTCTGTTTTTTTTTTTTAATAAGCCTGGATATTTATCAGTTTTGTTGATTTTTAAAAGAATCAGCTTTGGCCTCATTTGTTATGTTTTTCATTTTCTTATTTCATTGATTGCCACTCTGATTTTTAAATCTTTGGCTTTTTTGGGGGTACAATTGATTAATTTTTCTTTTCTGTTTTTTTTTTTTAATAAGCCTGGATATTTATCAGTTTTGTTGATTTTTAAAAGAATCAGCTTTGGCCTCATTTGTTATGTTTTTCATTTTCTTATTTCATTGATTGCCACTCTGATTTTTAAATCTTTGGCTTTTTTGGGGGTACAATTGATTAATTTTTCTTTTCTGTTTTTTTTTTTTAATAAGCCTGGATATTTATCAGTTTTGTTGATTTTTAAAAGAATCAGCTTTGGCCTCATTTGTTATGTTTTTCATTTTCTTATTTCATTGATTGCCACTCTGATTTTTAAATCTTTGGCTTTTTTGGGGGTACAATTGATTAATTTTTCTTTTCTGTTTTTTTTTTTTAATAAGCCTGGATATTTATCAGTTTTGTTGATTTTTAAAAGAATCAGCTTTGGCCTCATTTGTTATGTTTTTCATTTTCTTATTTCATTGATTGCCACTCTGATTTTTAAATCTTTGGCTTTTTTGGGGGTACAATTGATTAATTTTTCTTTTCTGTTTTTTTTTTTTAATAAGCCTGGATATTTATCAGTTTTGTTGATTTTTAAAAGAATCAGCTTTGGCCTCATTTGTTATGTTTTTCATTTTCTTATTTCATTGATTGCCACTCTGATTTTTAAATCTTTGGCTTTTTTGGGGGTACAATTGATTAATTTTTCTTTTCTGTTTTTTTTTTTTAATAAGCCTGGATATTTATCAGTTTTGTTGATTTTTAAAAGAATCAGCTTTGGCCTCATTTGTTATGTTTTTCATTTTCTTATTTCATTGATTGCCACTCTGATTTTTAAATCTTTGGCTTTTTTGGGGGTACAATTGATTAATTTTTCTTTTCTGTTTTTTTTTTTTAATAAGCCTGGATATTTATCAGTTTTGTTGATTTTTAAAAGAATCAGCTTTGGCCTCATTTGTTATGTTTTTCATTTTCTTATTTCATTGATTGCCACTCTGATTTTTAAATCTTTGGCTTTTTTGGGGGTACAATTGATTAATTTTTCTTTTCTGTTTTTTTTTTTTAATAAGCCTGGATATTTATCAGTTTTGTTGATTTTTAAAAGAATCAGCTTTGGCCTCATTTGTTATGTTTTTCATTTTCTTATTTCATTGATTGCCACTCTGATTTTTAAATCTTTGGCTTTTTTGGGGGTACAATTGATTAATTTTTCTTTTCTGTTTTTTTTTTTTAATAAGCCTGGATATTTATCAGTTTTGTTGATTTTTAAAAGAATCAGCTTTGGCCTCATTTGTTATGTTTTTCATTTTCTTATTTCATTGATTTCCACTCTGATTTTTAAATCTTTGTCTTTTTTGGGGGTACAATTGATTAATTTTTCTTTTCTGTTTTTTTTTTAATTTTAATTTTTTTTTAAGACAGGGTCTTGCTGTGTGTAGTTCAGGCTGATTTTGAACTCACTAGCCCAAACTGTCCTTGTACTTATGGAGATCCTCCTGCCTCAGCCTACTGAGTGCTGGCATTACAGGTGTGTGCCACCATGCCTGGCTGACTGATTTTTCTTATTTCTTAGGGTGGAATCTGAAACCTTTCTTCTTGCTAAAATAGGGACTCAGTGCTCTGAAGACCCATGTGTAAATGACTTCCTGGACCCATGGGTTGCTTAGAAGTGTTGTTTGGTTTGGGGATATCTGGTGGTTTTTTAGATGTGTTTTGTTGTTGCTGTATTGTGAGCCCACAGTGTTCAGACAACACAGTTAGTGTGACCCATTCCTTGTGGCTGCCCAGGCCCTGTTGATTTGAAGGAACAAGGGATACCACTGTTCTTGGGGGAACGCTCTGTGAAAAGCTGATGTGACTGAGGAGGCTGAAGGTCTTGCTGAGGTCTTCTACATTCTTAAAGATTTCCTATGTATTTGTCAACTGCTGGGAAGGTCCTGTTCCATGGCTCACAGGCCCTGCATGATCCGCCCACCTGCCTGTGACTCCATCCCCCTCATCCTCACTGCACAACCATCTTAACCCCCTCTGTCACTGCCTCCATCAGGATATTTAGCCTCAAGGCCTGTGCTCCCCCCACCCTGTGTTAGTCACATTCCTGTCTCTGGGACACAACACCCAATGCCTATGATGTAAAGGCTCATGGTTTCCAGTAGGTTCAGCCCATGGCTGGCTGCTCCAAGGCAGCAACACCATGGTGGATGGGCCTGGGGGAGGATAGCTGCTCGTGCTATAAGATTCAGGAAGCAGAGAGAGAGTAAAGGCAGGAGCCAGGGTCAAGAACACACCTTTCTAGGTCACACCTTGTGATCTGCCAATTTCAGCCAGGCCCCACCTCTGAACACATGAGACTTTTGAGGCACAGTTTAGATCCAATCCACACAGTCCCACTTTCTCTTGCCAGATGCCTACCTAGGTGTACTACTTCTGTGGGCCACTGAGGTTGCCTCCACTCCAGCCTCCCTGCTTGGTCCCTGTACCCTGGCCACTTTTCCTTCCCCTAGCACCTGCCTGCTTACCCAGTGTTCTGCTTACCCAGTCTCCCAGCAGACACTAGTGCAGGTGTGGCTGGGAAGGTGTTCTGCATGTGTGACTGCAGTCTAGCATATGTTTACGTGGACTGGGAAGTGGATTGTGGACTGACCAGCCAGCCCACCATGCTGTATCCTAGCCCTGCTGAAGATTTCAAGTGTTTTCCTAAACAGGAAATGTTGTTGACACGGATTCTCAAACTATTCTTCCCAGTCTAGTCTTTTATGTCTGTCTTCCAGCTACAATAGGCATGCATATGTACCTGCGAGCTTGCTCCAGTGGAGAGCCCATACCTGGGGTGGGGTGGGAGTGGAAAGGGGGACTGAATTTGCAAGTGTGTGCTGTGTGCAAGTACGACAGTGTCACTGATCATGTTGAAATGTGCGTGAAAATGTTTTTGAAAAGATACCATGCCCTGGTACTGTACGTAGCTGTGATTTCATCCTTACCTGATTAATTTGTAGCGATAACCGAGCATCATCTCCACGAGCCATCAACTTGTGAGTTGCCAGGAGGTGAGTCAGACAGTAAGGTAGCAGGAGAAGTTGCCCCTTTGGTCCCAGCCCTCTGGTGGCACTGGTCTAGGGAGACTCCTGGGCCCTGAAGCTGCTCTGGCTTTCCTATCCTGGAGTGGGGACAGCCGTTCCCAATGAGACTTCTCCCTCCTGAAGGCCTCTGCACATGAGGAGGGAGTCACAGTGGGCATTCTGCCAGAGCGTGGGCCCACGGTCACGGTGCACCTCGAGTGAGACAGACTCAGGCCAAGATGGACTATCCTTGGACCTTCATCCCCACTCCTACCAGTGGACTACAGGGACATTTTTTACTGCTTGGGTTGGAGTCCTTGTTCCCCTTGCTTCATTCGTAGGTGCTCTGATAACTGGCGGCAGGTGCTGTTAGGGAAATCCAGAGGTTGTGCCAAGAATGTGTTTTGTGCCAAGAATCATTCCCAAAGAACCGCTTCTTCCAGGAGCCAAGAGGGCCCTTGGTCTGGGATGTGTTCTTCGATCTGGGACCTGGGTACCAGGGTGTGGGCCTAGAGTCTTCCCAAGCTGGGCAGGGCTGGGGTGTCTGCCTGTTTCTGTGGCTTTCAGACAAGAAGACATTTCTCAGATCCCAGAGGTCACCCCTTGTGATGACCAAGTGAGCCCTGCACCTGGTTTTCCATGTGGGCTCCCCTTGCCCTGGGAGGGCAGGAGCTGGGCTGTGATGGAGTCTGGGGAAGGTATGACCATCACTGGGCCCCACAAGGGTCAGCGTATGGTGGGAGAGTCCTGGATCTCCAGTGGGCTACATGTGTGGTGAGTGTCGTAAGATGTGGGACACAGGCAAGGTCAGTGCCTCCGCTCTCTGCTGCTATATGTGGGAGCACAAGACCTTCTGCTCACCTCGGAAACCTGTGTGTCCTGTGCTTCTTTCAGGTAAGAGTTGAAAAATGTAAGAAGGTTTTCTGAGTAAGGAGTGGACCAAATGCATCCCTGTGCAAAAACACCCAGCGGAACAAACCTAGAGATGGCAAATGTGTGTGCGACATTCACCTGACCACACAGGGAAGCTGTCATCCCTGAGAGGTTCCAGTGCTGCAGGTACAGCAGGCCTGAGGTACTGTACATCCGGTCAGAACCGGATGCCCGCATGCAATGCTGACCAGTGACAGCTGTCAGTTTTTGTGCTTCCTGGAACAGGGGTCTGTTTTCCTGCCAGCCCACACAATCCTTTCCTTTCTTTCTTTCTTTTTAGATGAACAATGAAATCTTGAGGATACTGGGCTCTTTTCAGTAATTCAAGGTTCCTTAATTATCCTGCATCTTTTCCTTTGTGTGTTCTTTACGGTGGGATCCAAATTTGAAAAAGAAAAAGCCTTCCACATTTATGACTATTGTACCATTATATTTGCACTATCTTCATACTGATGAGGCTGATAAAAATAGAAAATTGTAAAAGGCTCTCTATCAAAGACAGAAGCCTCCTATATGAAATTCTTTTTTTCCTGTGGCCTTTTCTATGCTTTCATTACCTTCCCTCCCAAGGACAGAGAAATCTTGCAATATCTTTTTTTTCCAAAGTGTATTTATTTCTTCCATTGCACCTCTAACAATGGACAACTAAGTCCCTGCCTTGACTCTGCTATCACTAAATTTGCAATTAAAATAGCAAGCTCAGCTGGATGCTTGCTTCTTCCTTGGGCTGTGTGCCAGGGAGTGACTTCCATGAGGATTGGGGCCTTTGCCGTCTCTGGTCAGCTTGGGTGGCCATTGCCCACATGCTCCCCAAATAGCTCAGGAGTGGGCTTTCTGGTAACCCACGGTGAGAAGTCACTTTAGGGACTTTACTTACCGGAGCATTAACCTTGCAAAGTAAGCTCGGCAAAACCTTGTCTGCTCATCGGACAGAGCAGCCTGTGAAACACTGCTGAGCAGACGGGGCCAGTGGAGATGGAGGCAAGAGAGCAGGACTTGGCAGCTGGTATGGGGCTGTGTGAGCGGGGAAGGGGCTCTCAGCCATCCCTGTGGGTGTTGGGAGAGGCGGTGGGGCAGAGAGCACGGCTGCGCAGTCTGATGACTGGCCTTGGGGGCGCCCACACTACCCACCTGCCAGGCTGTCTTGCCCTCTGCCTCCCCCTGGGGTTTGGCAATGAGCAGGTGCCTGGTGACATTTGGGTACCAGGCTTCTGAGTGGACTCAGACTCTGTCTCTGAAGACCATGGTCCCGCAGCACACACCCTTTCCCAGCCCTTGCCCCAGCTCCTCCCACACTCAGAGCACAGCTCAGTACACACTGGGTTCCTCTTGCCCTGTGATGCCCCCCACCACGCTGTTTGGATCCAGTCCTGGGCCAGGTGGTGTGCACAGGTAGGGGCACAGACCTCGGTCAGTGGCGCTGGGCAGACCTGATCCTTGTGCTGGGGACACACTTCTGTCCTCCTTACTCCTCCCTTTTGGAAGGGACAGTGTGGACTCAGTTTTGTTAGGAAGGAGCAACAACCGATCACACATGAGCAGGGTGTGCTCAGTGGGTGCGGGTGCTTGGCCCCCCCATGGAACATGTACCCCTTTCTGAAAATAATCTACTGCAGAAAACAGGAAAACCTGGAAGAGAACATGAGAACGATGCATTGCTTGTCTCTGTGATTCCAGTGACCATGGTTATCATCCGGTGTTGGCATGAGTCTGCTGCTGCTTTAGAGGGGTGCAAATGCCCCCTTTACCCCTTTGCCCCTCCTGGCATTGTCCCCAGCTACTAACCACCTCCTGGATGACATCGAGGGGGTTCTGATTGGAGGATGGCAGAAAACAAGCCACGAGGGGAGGGGTGGAACAGGTGTGGGGTGGAACAGAAGGAAGAGGGCACTGGCCGAAAGCAGGGACGGAGGGAGCCACTGAGGTCCTGCACAGGTCACGACAGGGTCAAGAGCAAGCCCGTGGGGGCAGAAAACCCTCCCTGACTGGAGCTCCCCCTGGGTGCCATTTGTCTGTCTAGCACTGACTGCCTCCATGAATGAGTGGCACAGCCTCTCATTGGACCTTGTGGTCAAATTCAGTTCCATCCATGAAGCACCCTGAAATAACCTCATACACATTTCCCCAGTAAGGAATCTCAAGTGTGGAATGTCTAAGAAACGTCACCGGAATCCCACAGCTGCATTTGGGGTTGCTGTGCCCCAGATCTGTCCCCAGAGCTGTGAATTCTCCACTCTGCATGGAGAGATGGAAATACTCCAGTGGAGTGGACAAAAGCAGGACTTGAGGACGTGCAAGAGGCATACACGGAAGAGCGTAGAGAAGGACCTGGGAGCATTGCCGAGAACGTCTGGGACTGTGGGAGCCACATGCCCGAGGTGCCTCCTGTTACTTGGAGAAGCAGCTGTCTGTGTTCCACCTTCATAAAACCTTGCTTTCTTTTATGGTACTGGGGATCAAACTCGGGACCTTGTGCTTGCGAGGCAGGTATTGGAACCACTGGGTAAATCCCTGGCCCCAAATTTCACTTTCTGACAGCAGGAGCTGCACCCTGGGTGCACATGTGCTGCAGCAGGGGTCTCGTGCCTTGGTCAGGACACAGCCTGGCTCACTTCCATTTCCTGCATCCGGTGGGACTGGTTCATTGTCATCCCAGAGTTGGAGGGTGACAGTTGCTGGTGGTGGATTCTTGTCTTCATGTGAACGTGAGCTCCCCACACATTCCGTCCTCCACGCTCATTCCTCCAGGTGCAAGGTTCACCCTTGCTTCCCTGCAGCCCAGGGGCAATGAATGCAGCTGCCCAGAGTCCACTGGTCGTCTGGCTTCTTTCCTGCCACACTGAGCTGAGAGGTGGTGATGGACACTGCCTGGCCCACAGAGCGAGCCTAATGCTCCACGTCCCTCCACAGAGAAGGACCCTGGCCCAGGCCTTAGATGCCCAGAGCCCTCCCCCGGCCCCCTCTGCCCTCGATCATTTCCTCAGACTGTCCCCCTCAAAGCTGCCCACAGAGGAGCTCTTCAGATGCTGGTGACTGCTGTGCTGCTGCCCTGAGCTCCAGGCTGTGTGCACCCTGTCCCTGTCCCCTCTTTGTGCACCTGTCCTCAGGCTGAAGGTGGCTGTGAGGTGTGCTGGGCAGGCTGAAGGTGTGCACTCCTGCACAGGTGCAGGACAGAGCCAGAGGTGGACAGGGCGGGGAACGTGACCTCACTCTGCCCTTAGTCCTGGGTAGGGGTGGGCCTGGGTCTCCCTCCTCACTCAACTCATGGTTCTGGCAATGTTTTGCTCCTTACATCTCTCCATACATGCTAAGACACCTCTCTTCTAAAACTCGGTGGAGGAAAGGCGATAAAATGGGGAAAAATGGTCTTTTCACCAAAGAGTTTTGGAAACATGGGAAGTACAAATGCAAGAGAAAGAAGTAAGATCTCCTCCTCTTGCCATACACAAAGTTAATTCACAGTGGATCACAGCTCTGAGGGTGAAAGCAGGAACTAATGTAACTATTGAAACGGGAGTCAGTCTTCATGTTTTTGGAATAGGCACTGGCTTCTGAGGGACAACACAAAAACCTACATGACAAAATTAATAAATTGGGCTTCACCAAAATAGACTTTTCTGCTACAAATGATACCAAGAAAATGAAAACTCACAGGATGTCAGAAAATATTTGGAAATCATATCTCATAAGGGATGTGTATGCAGAGTGAATATCGAGCTCCTAGGATCTGTCATTAAAAGAACCAAGTGTGAACACTGGCAAGGAGTCTGCGCAGACTTTACAGGAGATTTGTGCAGGCCCAGGGCACAGGCGGACTCGAGCAAACCGAAACCATCGCAGACTCCTCCTTCATACCTGCCCAGTGGTTGTGGTACATAGGTGGTCAGGACACAGGTGGCGAGGATGGGACAGGGAGCTGTCCCACACTGCACGTGGGGAGGTGACTCAGTGCCCTTGCCTTGGAGAAGAGCCAACAGGACCTCAGTGTTATCCTCACGGCGTGTCTCGGTCCACTCTGCCTGCAGCAGCAGAATGCCAGGCACTAGTGTCCTCCAATCTCAACGGGTGCTCACGAGGATGAATCCAGGGGAGGGGGGCACTTGAGTGGGCTGGGCAGGAATTCCAGAGCAGCCTGAGCCCCCTACCACCAGTCCCGTCTTCCGGGACTTTATAGGAAGTGCTGATGGCGTTGTAGCAGGTGGAAGGTGGGTGCATGCTGCCTACATTTTCCATCTGAGTTGCGTTTATATTCAACAAAGGTAGGAAGTAAAACCCAGGAGACAGTGTGCAGGATTGTTGTCAGCGTCTGTTCAGGGGATTCTGATTTCCTAGTTTAATATCCATGCTTCTTACCCGCATCCCTGCCCATCACAGCTGGGCGTTTGAGGTGCACATGCTCAGGTGAGCATAGAACAGCTTACTTGGTGGACGTGCACAAACCAAAAGCCTTGCCACATGGATGCATGATTCCTGCCACTGCCTGGCTGCGGAACTGGCAGGGCTGTGGGTCCCACCCAGGGTTACTTGTCTATGCTGAGACTTCGGACCAATGCTTAGGTACAAGGCAGGACTTTGGCTCAGAGACCCTGGAGAAAAATGTCCGTGGCCTCCAGGGTACCAGCGACATCTCCTGAACTGTCCCTGCGGTGGAGTGTGACTTTGTGCACTGAGTCCTGTGGTAGAAATGTAGCCTTCAGGATGTGCTGGGTCTAAGCGAGCCCAGCAGTGGCAGAGGGAGTCAGAGTGGGAGCATTGTCCACATCAGGCTCAGGCAGCAGGGCAGGTCATCCTCAGGGCTGTGTGTGGTGAAGGCTCAAACACCAGGCTGCACAGACTACAGCCCCCAGAAAGTGTGATGTGCCTCTTTGCCTCTGCCTGTGTTCAGGGCTGGGAAGATTGTGGCCTCCAGGAGATGTGGGGTCAGTCTGGCCCAGGGCTCTGTGTCAACCTCATGGATGCGAGGAGGGGCTGCCTTTGTGGGGGCCCCACAATCTACTTGGGGTCTCTCCCTAGGCCTCTTGCCTTGCTTGTCCACAGTGGAGCCTGCACCCAGGGCAGACTGAACACCATTGTACAGCTGTGCACAGGGGTGGCTGAGAGGTGCTGCACCTCTCCAGCCAGTGTCCAGCAGAC